CCATCAAGCCGACCTCCGAATCATCATCGGCAGGCGCCTCCTTGCAAAATGGACTAAACCAGTGAGTGGGCACAAAACCTTCACCAAAACTGTATGACAAGCGCCTCTTTGGCCTCTGACTCGTCATTCTCTGCAAGACGTGCAGTTAGCTCACTGCGGGTTCCTGTCACAGTCCACTACATCAGCGCCCACCCTCAACCCCATGTTGAAAAAGTCCACCTCCATCGTGAAGAAAATGGTGTGCACGCTTCTCTCTGGGGGTCTTGCCAATTGGGTCAAGCCCACGCCGCGCCAACTCTTTCTTCAGCTCAGGCACCTCGCTTCACTGGCTCATTGCATGTTTGGATGCTGTGCCACTCGTCTGTTTTTTTTGTCAGTTTCTTTTCTCGAGCTTCTGCCACCTCATCACAAGCAACAGGCCCTACAAAGGGATCTTGATTTGCATAGTGTCGTTCTGCAGCACCTTGAGGAGTCCATACAATCCGCCCTTGCCATGCTCTAGCATGCAGGTCGCTCTTCAGGTGCTTGAATCTGAGTCTCTCAAATCTCGTACGAGGCATTTCTATCATTCCCAATTGCTCTCACAGGAAGCAACTATATATCCGGGTGCAGTCTAGTTGAGCTGCTCTTGTCTTATGATTAAGCCAGAATGCTTCCCACACATTGCAGGTCGCACTGCGTCAAGCCCTCCTGATGACAGCCAAGGCATCTAACACCCTTCTAATACAGCTGACCTTTCACTCGCACATAGCGTCTCGCACGGGCATCAACTTTGTTGATCACCTAAATGTTGACTTTGTACACTCCTATCTCATGGTGAAATACTCTCAGCATATCGAGGCTGGTCGCTTTTTGCTCATTGTTAATGAGCCATTTTGTTCATGCAGGTGCTGCCTGTCTGTGCAAGTCGGCAGCCTTCTACAACCCACACCTTGCGACATCCTCTGCGATTCTGATAGTAGATACGAAAGCTAAATCCAAGTCTAATGAGGGCCAGGTGGGAAGTCAGCGCTAATTCCGCGAGGAACAAGTGCAGCTTTGTGCACCTAGTTACTTCAGTTCCTGCTCCGCCTGGAATCCAACTTGGAGTACCTGGAAGCTTGAAGGATTTGGATGACTAGACTTTCTGCGCGCGAATCCCTCCAAAAGGAATCATAAAAATGGGCATGTTGACTATCCTACTCCGTCTGGACCCATTTCCTTCAGAATGTGCGCCTTTGGGCGACAAATTGGCACAACCGCAAAGTACCACACCCGCAAAAAGCCCGCACACTCCCGCAAAAACCCGCCGCAAACTCCCACAAATCAAAAAACAAGAAACACAAACGGGGGAAAAATGGGGAAGAAAAAAAACAACGGGAAGAAACAACTGGGAAAAAAACAGAGTTTCCGGAGAGTGAATCTTCAGTAAAATCAGTGGAATACCCACACATGTGCACAGAGTTGCATGATTGCTGCGATAGTGTACAGAGTTGCATGATTGGAAGAACCAAAAAAAATTACACCAGCATAGACCCCAGATAGCACACCACGGATACGAACCATGACGCAGCATTATCATGATGATGTAGACCATGATGACACCACAGCCACGAAACAAACGCGCAGACAACGTCCTAATGAGATCAGCAGCATAATGATGATTTTGAGAGCAATCCGGAAGGAAAAAAGCAAAAACGAGGTCCTGATGAGTTCGACAGCATCATGATGATGCGGACAGCATCATGATGATGCGGACAGCATCATGATTGCGAACAGCATCATGCTGATGGTAAAGGCAGCATCATGATGATACCACAGCCACGAACCATCTTGCGACAGCTTAATGAAATTCTGCATCATCCTGATGTTGACAGCATCACGGTGCCACTACGCCCACACACCATAACGTGGGAACATCATGACGATACACCAGCCACGAACCGTTACACGCGAACAGCATCCGCCAGCACCCCAAACATGCCCCCTAGCACCCGGTACAACCAAAGCAGCATCCACCCGCGCCTCAAACTGCATGCCCCTTAGCACCCGGCCGTCAAGCTCGCAAAGCAGCATCCACCAGCACCCCAAACTTCATGCCCCCTAGAACCGGCCGTCAAGCTCGCAAACCAGCACCCACCAGCACCCCAAACTGCATGCCCCCTAGCACCCGGCCGTCAACATCCACCAGCACGCCCGGCCGTCAAGCATTGCAGCCCCCTAGCACCCGGCCGTCAAGCTCGCCAGTACCCCAAACTGCATGCCCCCTAGCACCCGGCCGTCAAGCTCGCAAAGCAGCACCCACCAGCACCCCAAACCGCATGCCCCGTAGCACCCGCAAAGCAGCACCCACCAGCACCCCCAACTGCATAGCACCCGGCCGTCAAGCTTGCAAAACAGCATCCACCAGCACCCCAAACTGCATGCCCCCTAGCACCCGGCCGTCAAGCTCGCAAAGCAGCACCTACCAGCACCCCAAACTGCATGCCCCCTAGCACCCGGCCGTCAAGCTCGCAAAGCAGCATCCACCAGCACCCCAAACTGCATGCCCCCTAGCACCCGGCCGTCAAGCTCGCAAAGCAGCACCCACCAGCACCCCAAACTGCATGCCCCCTAGCACCCGGCCGTCAAGCTCGCAAAGCAGCACCCACCAGCACCCCAAACCGCATGCCCCCTAGCACCCGGCAAGCTCGCAAAGCAGCACCCACCAGCACCCCAAACTGCATGCCCCCTAGCACCCGGCAGTCAAGCTCGCAAAGCAGCATCCACCAGCACCTCAAACTGCATGCCCCCGAGCACCCGGCCGTCAAGCTCGCAAAGCAGCATCCACCAGCACCTCAAACTGCATGCCCCCAGCACCCGGCCGTCAAGCTCGCAAAGCAGCATCCACCAGCACCTCAAACTGCATGCCCCCTAGCACCCGGCCCTGAATCTCGCAAAGCAGCATCCACCAGCACCTCAAACTGCAGGCCCCCTAGCACCCGGCCCTCAATCTCGCAAAGCAGCATCCACCAGCACCCCAAACCGCATGCCCCCTAGCACCCGGCAAGCTCGCAAAGCAGCACCCACCAGCACCCCAAACTGCATGCCCCCTAGCACCCGGCAGTCAAGCGCACCTCAAACTGCATGCCCCCGAGCACCCGGCCAGCATCCACCAGCACCTCAAACTGCATGCCCCCCAGCACCCGGCCGTCAAGCTCGCAAAGCAGCATCCACCAGCACCTCAAACTGCATGCCCCCTAGCACCCGACCCTCAATCTCGCAAAGCAGCATCCACCAGCACCTCAAACTGCATGCCCCCTAGCACCCGGCCCTCAATCTCGCAAAGCAGCATCCACCAGCACCTCAAACTGCATGCCCCCTAGCACCCGGCCGTCAAGCTCGCAAAGCAGCATCCACCAGCACCTCAAACTGCATGCCCCCTAGCACCCGGCCCTCAATCTCGCAAATCACTTTCCCTCTTTATTAGAAGTTAGAACCCCTATAGCTTTCAGCTATCTGGGGAACAATTGTTTACCGCAAGAACTCCAGTTTTTGATTTTCACTCTTGCCTTTTGCAAGCCACTCCTGCTTTTTGATTCATGCATTTGAAACACCTGAAGCTCCTAGTTTTCAGAGGGTCTTCTGGAAATAACCCGGAGAACGGACAAACAGAGAAATAACCCGGAAGCGAAAAGACCCAGCTGTTGTCAGTGCCCAGTTGCTCAAACTTTTCCGATCCTCTGCGTCCCCGGCTGTTCTGTTTCTTTCTTCAATCCATCTTTCTCTTCGTTCAGTTCGCCCAATTCTTTCTTTGTTCCTCCTTGCTGACCCGTTGTCTGCCCAGTTGTCCTTCTTCATTCTTTCTTCCTCTTTTCCGATCCTGCGTCTTTCCTGTTTTCTTTATTCCTTCTTTTCCCCTGGTTGCCCTCTCTCTTTCTTTGCTCTTCCTTACTTGTTTGATCCCATTGCTGCCCAGTCGTGTTTCCATTTCTATGGATTCCTGTTTTGGTGCAATTCCATCTGCATTTGTTTAATTTCTAGTTTCTGCTTTGATCTAGCGTCTGCCCTGTTGTACAATGTTCTGTCGTGGTCCCTGTTTGTCTTCATGCTTTTCCAATCCAGCGTCTAACATCAGTCTCGCCGGATTCCCGCATCGCCGCATTGCCTGAACCGGCCCAACCAACAGAAACAAAAAACAAACAGAGAGCGAGGGCCTCAGAGCACTGACTGGGCTTGACCGAAACCGGCCATGACGGAGTTTTCCCTGCAGGAAGTTAGGGCGGCAGCCCTTACATGTATGACTTGTGAAGCGCACTCGCTCCGGTCCAGCAAGCCAGCCAGCTTTTTCAGCATCAACTCCTGGGAAGATCACATCACTCTCACGAGGCTCCTTCTTGATTTCATATATTTTGCCATTTGGCGAATGTGATGTAACATGCGCCGAAGTTGTATCGACAAAGGATTTGGGACCTGGGAGAGAACTCCAGTGCCACAGGACGATGGCAAGGGGATGGCAATCCAAAGGCTGTGGACAATTCCAGTGACCCCAAACAAAATATTGAAGAACCTGCTGAGACGAGTGCTCAGACAAAGCATTGCTCCTTTTTGGTTTTGTAATTGTGGATGGTCTCGCTGATGTCGGAGAACTCCTTCTCTAGCTCGCCTGCGCTTGTATAGCTCTGAGCTAAAACGCGAAGTCAAAGGTCCCGAAAAAGACTTGGATGACTTGGTGGCCGGCACACATAGTCATGGAGGACCTGGCAGAGCAGGCCCACAAATGTCGCACGGCCTGTCCTTTGCAATACACGGGGAGAACCTGCTAAAGACCTACAGCTGTTTCACACCTCATCTCTGCTTGCAACAGAAACGATATGTTGGATATTTTGTTGGCCCTGCCTATGATGTCTCTCAGAA